GAACCAGCAAGAAAGGTGTTCCGGGTCTGCATCTGCGCCATATTTGTTCAGATATTTCAACTCAAGATTTTGTTCGTTGCTGAAATCTCAGAGCCAACTCTATGTGCTCCTGGTTGTGGGTATTGCTGTGGTGCTCTTCCTAATGCAGGTAAACCCTTTTTTCCTTGGAAATATTTGCTGCATCGTGGCAGGTTAAATGCCTACATTTTTGTGTGGTTTGAGGGAGAAAGTTATGTGAGAAAGAGAGGGAGAAAAGACAAAAAGAGAGCTAAGAGTTAGAGCGGGGTGTTTGAAACTCCGTATAAGAGAGAGAATTAAGAAAGAAGTGTGTGTGTGTGGGGTGGTGTAATTGTATTTCTAAAAGACAATAATGCCCTCATTAGAGATACATGTACTCTGTATTAAATCTAGGAAAGGTTATAAGTGAGAAAATGAAAATAAGGAAACGGTCTTGGCCTCAATTCTTTTGGGGGAGAGTGCATCACAGTTTGACTTGTTTGGTCAAACTATGTTACACTCTTACCACAATTTGTGGGAAAAATATTTTAGTGATAATGCAAATTTAGTAAAGTTCAGTTCATTTTAAAATATAGTTTTGATATATCAAAATTGTATAACATTTATTTATTTAAAACTATATTTAATTTATGGTCAAAGTGTTGTCCAATTTGGCAAAAAAGTCAAACTCTGAGGTTCTTTTTGGGAAAGAGGGAGTATTAAACAAGGTTGAGTATGTCTTCTCTCCAACTTACGTCTCCCTGAAGTTGTTCTCACTTCCATATTTCACCCATACCAAAGAGGAACACACTTAAACTTTATTGCACAATTTTCACCCAATTTCACTAAGGCCCCGTTTGGTCTGGTGTTTGGTAGCACAAAAATTATGTGGATTTGGAATTGGTAGTGTAAAAAATGAATTGGAATTGGTGAATTCAATTCTATGGAATTGAATCCCTATGGAATTTTAATTCCAATTCAATTCCAATTCCATTAATTCCGTGTACCAAACGGACCCTAACATTATGTTTGGTTCAAGGAATTAGGAAGGAAAGGAAAAGAAAACGATTTCTCTCATTTTCCTCACCAAAATGAAATCATGTTTTCCCTCTTCTTAGTTTATTTTAGCTTATCATTTTCTTTTCCTTCAACTTTTCTTTTCTTTTCCTCCCTAACCAAACACGAAAAATGGTTTTCCATATCATGTTCTTTTCTTTTCCCTCTCAAATTCCTTGAACCAAACATAGTGCAAGCGAAGGATGTACAAAAACAAGAAACTTCACAAACTAAAACTACTTCATAGTATGAAATTCATGAGTATAAGCTAGTTATTGTTCACTAGGCTACCGAGAAAGGGAGTGAATTTTTAGTATTGTTTGGTATAAAGAGAAATGGTAACATTCTTTTTTTAATGCGTGTGCACTTGCTGTTACAGTTGAGCATAATTGTACTGCTGAGTAGGCCACAACAGATCCACGTGATTTCTCAAGGCGATTGTGGCGTAGTCCATGGAATGGAGAGGAGGGGGACGGAGACGCTTGGGTTTATCGAAAACCAGGTCAACCATCTCAAAGAAGAGATGGTTATGGTGGAGACGATGCTGGACAAAATGCAGTCCCAGTATGGGTTGCTCAAAGCGAAATTGACCGAATTGGAACAGATCCGGAAGCACCACCGGAAATGATCAACGCCGTCTGGGAAATCCCCTTCTTCTGGTTTGGTACATAAATAAATAAAAAAAGATACAGTAAAATTACTTGTACATATAACATGTGTTGTGTGTGCCTGTGGGGATTTGTGTCTGTGTGCTAATCTTTCTTCCCAATGTGCCTGATTAGCGTTAACGTTTTGAAAAGGCTATCTACGGACAACGTTTAGCGTTAGCATTTTCAAAGTGATCTGTACCGTTAAAACTTTATCCAAAATGTCGACGCTAATCTCTAACGCTATTTTCAAACAGGTTCAATATCTCCTCCATCTGGGAGTCTTAGAGTTCGTTTTTGCAAGACCTTGTGGTTGATTTTACTGAAATTGTTGTTGAGGTGGCTAAATTTGTTCAATTATCTAAAATTAATGTTTTAAAAATATATTAACAATCAACTTTAGAAAATACTAATACTTTCCATCCTATAATTGTTATTTTTTGTTTGGACTGTCCTAATTTTGTCCCATTTTCTTTTTGTAGAAATTAAACACGCCAAATTGGCCGCTTAATGAAGTAAAAACGATCTGATTGCGATTTACATTATATCATACTCCATTCGTCCCAAATTGTTTGTAACATTTCGAAGGACGTATAAAACATCATTTCTTTTAAGATTATTTTATTTACAAATTGGTAGAGAAATAAAAAAATACACTGTTCAAAAGTATAATAAAGATTTTACATAACAAGATGTGACAAGAAAATTTTATTTTATCAAATGGTCTACCAAAATGAGTAAACAAAGAAAAGTTGTTGAGTAGTCGAAATAATAATTGTGACATTTTTTTGGGACGGAGGGAGTAGTATAGGAAAAAACTAACATCATCCCCCGTAAAAGATTTCAAACAAAAAAAGCATCACAGTTTTGGGGCGCATCTTTATACGACAAAGAGAGTGAAAATTTGATATACTCGGTAATGTGTTATCTCTCGTAATTTTATTGATTTTGAGTATCAAGTAATTATACGTAATACCAAATATATTTGTTCACTTTGGCTTTTTCAAGTCAAACAAGATAAATTTTGAGCTTCAATTAAACAAAAATTGTAATGTACGAAGTTTATTAGTATAAAATGGTTTCATTAAATTTATCTAGTTAAGAACTTTCAAAATTTTATTTTATTGTACAAATATGTAATACAAATTGAGAGTAATTGAAGTTTAAAGTTTATTCAGTTTAACTTGAAAAAATCAAACTGAACAATTACATTGAGACAGAAGTCGTATATATATACATAGAGAAAAGATATTTCCATTGATCTTTTGAACAAGGATCTCTCGTACCATAGTTGTACTATCACCTTATATGCCTACCATCTATTCCAAGTTAGAGAATTAACTGAGGATCGTGTTAGAGTGTCACCACATGGGTACAACTAGGGGTGTATACGAATCGAATTGGAGCAAATATATCACTATTCGATTCGTATTCGATTAAAGTGATATGCATTCGAATTCGGATTCGTATATAATTCGAATTTTAAAAAACATTCGTATTCGATTTGATAAATATTTGACATATTTGAATTCGTATTCGAATATTCGAATTCGAAAATATTAGTAATTTTTTTCTTAAAACAAATTTCTCAAAGACATTAAATTATTATTTTATAATAATGTAAAATGTAGTAAAAATATGTTAGAATATATATAAATTTATTTATAAATTATAATATTCCAATATATATAAATTTATATATACACAAATATTTAATATATTCGAATATATATATATATATATATATATATATATATATATATATATATATATAAATTATAATATTCGAATAATTTGAATAATAAACGAATCAAATCTATTAATATTTGTATTCGAATTCGAAAATAATTCGAATCTAAAATATGATTTGTATTCGGATTCGAATTCCAATATAGCGAATACGAATCATCCTTTTCGAATACGAATCACGAATCGAATACATTTTATTTGATTTGTATGCACCCCTAGGTACAACCATGGGTGACTCCATGTTTTGCACAAATACATACAAACAATTATTGTTTCTGTGTGTAGCAGTCATGCGGTGGCATCTTAGCTTTATTGATTAGGAGTAATTTATTACTACTACACCATTTGCCCGAAAGTTTTACATTAGAGAATTTTGAAATCGCAAATGATTGGTTCACTTGATGGTACACTTTTTGTTTTAGCAGATATTCATTCTTGAATTATGATCTATGAATTGCTTTGTTTTGTAACACGCATTTGTGACCAATTTAAAAATTAATTAGAGTTTGTTCTCTTCATCTAATCTGATCTGAATATAGTTATATTTAAAATTAATTCTGATCTGATCTTAACTGAATTGATTCTAATACGAAGAAATAATAAATAATAAGAATAATTTGAAGAGAAGAGACTTTTACTTTGTATTTTTTATCCGATATCTATGTTTTTAGTCTCTCTGTCCCAAATTAAGTTGCCCATTTTTTTACAATTCATATGATCAAACTTTATTTATCTTCTTGTCCTATTTTCATTATTCATTTGATAAATCACTCTGATTCTATGATCACTCTGTTTGAGTGGCGACAGAGGACAATGTCTCAATTGAAATAACTACATGCTCCATTCACAAAATTTTATAGCTCGTACCCCTCCATAAACTTCTACATAGCCCCGACCTCAATCTAACTTTTACCCACATCATTTGCGGGATGTAAATTTAATTGACTTTGAGATTGAAATTATTATTTCAAAATCTACTAAATTTGCACCAGCGGTTAACATGGCATCAATCGACTATGATCCACCGTTCCCACTTCAATCGCCTCTGTGATACATCAAATGGAGCATCAGAAAGTTCAACCAAAAGCAACGGCAATGTGGGATCTCGGAAACATACACCGCAATGTTCCCGCACCATGTTTTAGTTTCTATGCTTGTTTTTTGGATTTGAGGTATATTTACATAACCATAATCTGTAGAACGAATGCAATTGCTTTGATAATTCATAAACAATACCGGATCTACAGCTGTTGTTCTCGTGATCGGCTGGAAATTAAAGTTTCAGTGATTGAAATTCATTATCGAGCGTTTGCATTTTCATGTGATTGGCATCGATTATGGATCAGTACACACTTAGAACTAGACTGATTTCTAACAATTTACGGTTATGATCAATGTAGTCGATTGTGAAGTTCAATCCATTGTGTGAATACGCTATTCTCCCTGTATGTTAACAAGAGGTAGATCCAATTGCAATTGCTGGTGTGCATTTATAGCATAGTTGATAATGATTTCGCTTAGTGATATATGGCTACACTTTAACTGTTGAGTTGCATAGTTTACCACATCTGCTTATAAATTAACTACGTACTAGTTGTTATGTTTTGCATCTTTGGCGCCTGTCAAAGATTCACCCCAAAAAAAGAGAAAAAGCTTTAAGGGTGTGGAACATGTAATTGCTATCTTGAAGTGAAAAACAAGTCTTGGTTACTCCCAAACGTACGTACAGAGTTATAGAGAGCGTCTTTTATTAAATTATACATATAAAAGTTGCATTACAAAGATGGCTGGTAAACTAGCTAGTAGTGCCGGACAACATGGCAAACAACATAGAATGAAAATCTAAAGGATAAAATTCACCTATGAGAAACTCTCCCAGGCTGGGGGTTACCGTGCATCGTTTGACTGCCTCATTGATTTATTTTCAATGTGTCTATGAAACTTGTTGCCGTGATATCGTTGCCATCGATGAAGTTAAGGAAATCACTAAAGCTTGCTTCTATGTAGGATGACTGGTTGCTCCTATTCACAAGTGGTGGTGCAGGTCCCACTTTCTTTTCCAGAGCCAGACTGTGCAGGCTAGCAATGGAAATGCGACACTTCTCTGAGTTCACTGTTGCTCTGTGGATGATGGATTTGTACATCCCATTGCTCAGCACTTCCATTTGATCTCCCAATTGCACAATTAGTGCCCCATCTATTAGTGGGACAGGATGCCATATCTTATCCTGGTCCATGATTTGAAGCCCTTGCTGATTTTGAAGTAAGATTGATAGCAAACTGTAATCAGTGTGAGGTGGTAAGCCTAACGCAAGTTCTGGTTCGGGGCATACTGGATAGTAGTTAACAGCCATGACTTGGGAGCCTTCTTCGATGTCTTCTTTTAAGTAAGTGGGTTGCAAATCTAAACTCTCAAATATCAGTTCCATTAGCATCTTTTGCAATTCTTGCACTGCCTTTGCGTAGTTCCCCATTTGCTCCCTGGATCAGAAAATGAAGTTGTGTTATGTGCTCCATGATTAATGTTGAAGATACTTATATGTGATAAATAGAATGCTGACAATGTTTTCTTGCGTGGATCTTAGGATCCCTTTTGTCTATCTGAAACTTTATTCTCGGAAAATACGTAAATGTTTTTTATCTTCAAAGAAAGATTCAATTTTTTTGAAGGAAAAATGTTTTGCTGGATTCTTTAGAAATCATTTTCCACAACGAATTACTTTTCTCCATACAAATGGAGCCATAATTTCCTATTGAAGAGTAACAGTGAACAAGAGATGGAAGAGTAACTCACCTGTAGCATGCAGGGTTTAAAGGCCACAAATCAACCCAGGCAGAGATAGGATTGCAGTAGTGCTTGAGGAAGTCTCTCCAAAAGTGGACTCTATCTTGGACATGGTTTAGACTGGTGCCGTATCGCACTGGTTTCCAAACACTACCTGACATGAGCGGCATTTTCTCTTCACTTGGCAAATTAAAGAATGCCTTTGCTGCATCTAAGGCTCCATTCATGACCAAAGGTGAGATTTTGTGGTTGATGACCTGCACATAATCTGTTTTTAAGTGCATGCTTTGGTCTTGGTTTCTAATCCATGCATGCATGTCATATATGAACTTGTCGTCCCACTTAGGCACTTTTCATAAATCATGCTCTGTGTTACCCAAGATGAAGTTTATTTTGACATCTTAATATGCATCTTAAATGCTCTGTGAAACACTGAGACATGCTACTCATACTTCGTAATACCCAAGATGTTTGGACATATTTGCTTACTAATAGTAGTAGTAGTAGTCGAAACAATTGCTCTCTGCAGGGCTGTTTGGAAGAAATGGGAAGATTTTGGAGGGAAAAGCATATACCTTGATAAATATATTTGTTTCTAATAAAAAAAGGATTAAATGTGATAGGTCCTCTAATACCTGCACCCAAACAGACCCATACTGTCATACATGCCAATAACTCAACACACAGGAGTATGTTCTTTTTTTAATTTTGTAAAGTAATGTTGCACATACCTGGAAGAAACCCAGGTTTTTGCAGGCGGCGCGCACTTCCTCAACCACACAAGAGCGCATACGAGGGTGTTTCATGGCGGAAAGATCAATGACGGGCAAGTTATAGCCAGAGGGGCTGGCGGTGCTTCTGGTGCAGCCGGGGCGCTGTGATGGCGGCAGCACATAGCTCTCCGGGAGATGGCTCAACCCCCTTTGAGTTTGCGCCGTCGCGCTAGTAAAAGATGGCGTAGCTAAAACCGAGCTCTCCATCAAGAACCAAAATGGTTCACTGTTCTCTAATTTATGCACACAAATTTTGAAAGCAAAAAGATGTGTGTGTTTTGGCATTTCAGCTCATCCCTATTTATATATATATGGAAATAGATATGTGCCTGATATGGTAAAATATACCTTTTCCTTGTTTATTGTATGTTTATGTGCACTAACGTGTTAGAAGATCGGTAAATATAATATAATAATGGTTTCTACTACTCTATACTCGCAAGATGTGATTTGGTCACGGCTGAGGTCAACAAGAGTAGTGGGAGCCACAAGCGGTACAATAAACTTGGAAACATGAAACCAGACTCCAGGAGTCAACGGTTTTGGGTAAACCATGTTGCGGCGCAGATAAGTACGGAGTAGGATTATACTCACTCGCTTCACCTTTTATTTCGTTTTTACGTGCAAAACTCTATCTTTTTAAATACTCGATATAATTTTATTTTCAAATTGGTATAAAAATAAAATGTAAAACTTACATATTTAAAAATTACATCAAAGGTTGTATAGAACAAAAAATATTTTATTTTATCAAATGAATAATAAAAAAATACATGCAAACGAAAGTCATCGACCACTTATGAATAATAAATAGGAAGGGTGTTGGTGAAGAGGGGGAGAGGGAGTATTATTTTTGAGTTACTTAATTTTGAAGTCAACATTTTTTATTCATTTACTAAATTTTGTGAAGCGCCAACGCACATGCTAGATCATACTATAGATGAAAAGGCATAGATTGTTGGTGTCGGTTAAATATTGTCAGAATGGATTAAATATTATTACTCACTTTGAAGGGGAGGGGGATATTACTCACATTTAATACGGGATATTCCCTATCACCTTTTTTTAGCCCCACCTCACCCTTTTTTTGTTCGATTCTATGCCCCCACTTTATCTGTTCTCCCTAGTCAGTAGTCAGTTGATAAAGTAATACAGGTTTATCTTGTTTTGTAGAATTTTTTTAATATAAATTTTGAATATATAATTTTATCCTTTTTATTCCTTACTAGTTTCAGATAAATTGAATGAAAAAATAGTCAAATATCGTGAACAATAACAGATTGTATAAATTCAGACATAGGGAATATATGTTTAATTTCTCTAAGTTTATGAAGGTTGCTGAAGAATAAAAAAGTTATGGATAAATTGTTTAAATGAGAGAAATGTTGCAAATGATCACCTATTATTGTTTTTTAGACGAAAAGTAGTGTATTGGTATGTTCTCATTTGACTTTTCGTTGATGACATTTTGATCATTAGTATCTATATTATAAAAATATTTTACTGTATACCTCATTCGATAAATTGCAATATTGCATGTTGTTTGAAGATTATAATATAAGTAACTAAAATGATAAAAGATCCAAAATTATGATTACTATGAGTAAAATTAATTACCAAATCTGGGTGAAGCTTTGAGACATATGAAGGAGTGGTGGATGTATATAGCCAAAAATGGAATCATATTAACATACTAACATCAAAATTCAACAAATTCAATATTTAATCTTAATTACCGAATATAATTTAAATTTTCAATTCAAACTAAAATATTTAAAAGAGAAGAAAAGAAGATGATAATGAATCAGAAGTATGGAAGACAATTACTGATTTACTGTCGTTTGAGACGAACTCATACCATTCTCGTTATGGGAAAACTCATACAAACATTTTAATATTGTTACCAAAAACAAATCGACACTCCTGATTTCAAATATCCAATATAATTTATAAAATGTTTGCTTCATTTCTGTAAGGCTCATCATCATATTAGAGATCATGCAACCATGTCTAATATAACTTAGAAGACATTAGCCAAGTATATTTGCATTAAAAACTTCTTCTTCCTTCCTCGCATTGTCTTTCTTAGACCTGTCAAAAAATCACCCGACCTGTTTTTGACCTGAGACCCGACCCGAAAATACTAGGTTTTGAACAAAAGTTTTACTGATCGAACTCGAAGTTAATACTTTTTATAGTATCTGATGTGGCACTGATGTGTATGGAAGAGATAATGCGGTATAAAAAGTATGGAGGTATGTATATGTTCCACCCTAAACAAATGGTCTCACTAGGGACATAAACTACAGCCCGAGCGGTACTAAACTACTAATTATATGTTGAATACTTATTCACTTGGAGCAAGATTGTTTATTAATCATATGTACGTCCTTAGCCGAGTAATTTTTGGAGTAGTAAAATTAGTCTAGTCTTTTAAAACTTTATACCCATGCATCTATTCTTTCTTTTTCTTTCAAATGTGTCAATTGACTTTAAAAGTATTAAAACTAAAATATAATGTTAAAACCTTTTATACACATACATCCATACAACAACAATACAGTTGAATTATGAATACATACTCCATATATACACACATGTAATAATTATAACAATAAGGAATAAAACAAAAAAAGCATAAAACATTTCTTTAGCCGTCTTCATGATCCGCCCCATAATTACTTGATAAAAAAAATGTAGAAGAATATATATTGAACTAGGATGAGGTACTTAATACATTACATTATGCTATAAATTTAGTTGTAAAAAGGGATTCACTTTGAAACATCATATATGAATATAAACCGGGCTGATTCTATTGATATTGGCCAGCAGTGTCATTGCAATCGAAAAATTAATGATTTCTACCCCTTAGCCCACCCCTAAAACCCCGAGGCCACCCTAGCCCCATCTATATCCATAACCTTAGTCCCACCCTAAGCTTCTTCCAAATGTGTGACTATTATGCATTGCACAATAACCACACGTTTAGAGTGGACTTAGGGGGTGAGTTAGGAAGGATAGGAACTATCAATTTTTTTGATTGAGCACATCCGGTGCTGCAGAAAACTTCTAGAAGAAACTGTAACAAATTAAACTCCATACTTGCTATTTGTCTATTATTTGTTTAATTAGTTTCAATTTTCAAAAAAGTGTGACAATATAATGGTGCTCTTAAAAGTCTTCAATGTAAACCGTTTCCAACTCGACGGAGATGAAAACCCCGGCGTCGAAATCGCGGCTGCTCCACGGACGTCTCAGAGCGCCGTTGGCGAGACGGTGAGCGATTCCCCGGTGAATACTACGCCGGCAGTACGGACTCCATCCGAAACGACGGGAGAGGACGCCGGCGAAGAAGCGGTACGCGTTTTCGTGAGAAGCAAGGGCGTGATGTGGGTAAAATTCTTCTGAAGCGTGTTCGACGCCGGAACAACCGGAACTCGTCGGAGTTTCTGACGGCGGCGGCGGCGGCGTGCCGTTACAGAATCTATGGCGCATCCGTATGAGGAGTACGCTGTGGTGGCGGCGGAAGGGAGAGATGAGCAGCTGACGTGTCAGGTTTTCTCTGATCTCCATATTATTGTTAGCTATAGAGTATGTAGTACGAAGTATTTCGAATTAGTTTAATCAATGTTTAAATTAAGAGTTAAATAGAGGAAAAGATCTAAAGAGTTTCTATTTGATTGAGATTGAAAAAATTACTTTATTAGAACCCTCCAATCATGGCTAAGTGTTCTCCCTAGTGTTCTAGGGTTATTTCTTTCGTCTCCCTAGCTTTTCTAGGGTTCTACTCGCCGATTCTTCTCTCGGATTGTGCTCTCATGGAAGGCGGCGATGTTGATGGCTTGAATCAAAGGGTGTCTGGGCTAGATCTGGATGACGAGGCTGAGGGGCTCTCCTTTTTACCGGAGGGCGGGGCTCCTGTGCCGACGGTAGAGTTCCGAACTTGGACAATCGCGGGTCGATTTCTCTCCAATAAGGTAATTAAATTTGACATTATGCAACGGGTTATGGCAGCGGCTTGGAAGTCGGCTATGGGTGTTCGAATTGTCCAGGAGGGAGAGGTGTTCCTGTTTCACTTTTATCATGTTAAGGACGCGACCCGAATCATCGAGGAGGGTCCGTGGTCTTTTGATAATGCTACGTTGGTCTGTAAACTCCTTGACGAAGGGGAGAAGGTTTTGGCTACTGATCTGAATTGTGCAGAGATGTGGGTTCAAGTACATAATTTGCCCTTTGGTTATTCATCCCCGGCTATTTTAGAAGCTATTGGTAATTTTGTTGGTGGGTTTGTGAAGATTGATGTCAGTCCTATTCCTCAGACCCAAAGGCCCTATTTTAGGGTTCGGGTGGCGGTGGATGTGCGAAGGCCACTTCGGCGTAAGATGAAGCTCACGAAAAGAGATGGGTCGGTGGTTTGGGTTCAATTCCAGTTTGAACGTCTCAATAACTTTTGCTTCTTTTGTGGCGTCATGGGACATCTTGCAAAGCACTGTAGAGGGGCAGTTCTGTCTTCTTTGGAACCAGAGGATTACCCGTTTGATGCGTCCCTAAGGGCTGGTGGAAGGAAAAAGGAGTCTGGTCTTGGTTTGCCGTGGCTTCGGTTTCAGGACCCTTGGGAGGGGTGTGGGGAGCAGGTTGGAACCTCTTCACTTGTGCAAAAAGTTATACCGGAGGAGGAGGTAGAACTTGAAGTTGTGGCAAAGAGGAAGAGGGGTACGGAGGGTGGTGCTATGTTGGGAAGAGACTTGGATATCTCTATGATGGATGGTTCAAAAAACTTGCAAGCGGCGGGTTCTGGCTTCCAGGCCCGCCGGGGACAATGAGTATCCTAAGTTAGAACTGCCGTGGGTTGGGCAACCGACGGACTGTTTAGGAGTTGGCAGACCTTGTGTCTGCAAAGAAGCCCGACTTTATTTTTCTTTTGGAAACTAAAGGTGCGAGAGGAAATGCGGAAGAGTTGAAGGTCAAGATTGGTTTTGAGGGGCTCTTTGTTGTGGACAGTGTCGGGTTGAGTGGTCGGCTGGCACTTCTATGGAAGGAGAATTGTACGGCTAATCTCATTAGCTACTCTAGATATCATATTGATATTGTTGTCTCTCTTCAGAATGTTGTACCTTGGAGATTAACTGGATTTTATGGTAACCCTAAAAGGGATCAGCGTGGCATCTCTTGGGATCTTCTTCGGTCTCTTAAACATCATTCCTCGTTACCTTGGGCTGTTATGGGTGACTTTAATGATTTGTGTTCGGTTAGAGAGAAGAAGGGGGGCTGCCCTCATCCGATTTCGCTTATATCAGGGTTCAATCAAGCTCTTGAGGATTGCGGTCTCTTCGATTTAGGGATGATTGGTTATCCCTTCACTTGGGAACGAGGTCGTGGTTTGCATAATTGGGTTGAGGAACGACTTGATCGTGTCGTGGTCTCTGGGGCGTGGAGGGATTTGTTTACACAAGCCTGTGTGTTCAACAACTTCATGAGAACTTCTGATCATGCAGCGTTACACTTATGTCTTGACCGTGCGGTTCGGGTGCACAGGGTTAGGAGATTTCGGTTTGAAAATGCTTGGATGCGTGATACTGGTTTTAAGGATGTCCTGACAGAGGCTTGGCGTGATTCGACTGGGGAGCCTTTCTCAAATAGACTGGCTGCTTGTGGAAAGAGACTGATGCGCTGGGGAGGGGATAAATTCCAACATTTTGGTAAAAGGCGTAAAGAACTGGAAAAACTGATTGGTGGTATCAGGGGGAAGCGTGATGACCAGAGTTTTTAGCTCTTAATCGGGCTGAAAAAGAGCTTGCCTGTTTAAGGGACCAAGAGGATCTATATTGGCGACAAAGGGCGAAGCAACATTGGCTTAATTCTGGTGATGCTAACACCCGTTTTTTTCACCAATATGCGTCTCACCGAAAGCGAAAGAATTTTATTCATGGGCTTAAGGGTTCGGATGGAGTCTGGCATGCTGGGGATTCTTTAAAAGCTTTGATTACTAAGTATTTTAAGGATATCTTTACGTCTAAGGGGGTTGCTGACTCCTCGTTTTTTGACTCCATTGTCCCGCGGGTTTCGAGAGAACAAAATGAAGGGTTGCTGGCTTAGTTTGGTGAGGAGGAAGTTAAGCAGGCTATTTTTTCTATGCACCTGATGGGATGAATCCTGCCTTTTTTCAGAAAAATTGGGGAGTGGTGGGCCAGGACCTGACAAGGGCTGTTCTGGAGTGTATTCGTCAAGTTTCATTCCCTCTGGGAATGAATGATGCCACGCTGGTCCTTATTCCAAAGAAACAGGCGCCACAGGTTGTGGGCGATCTCCGCCCCATTGCGTTATGCAATATCACGTATAAGGTTGTGGCAAAAATGTTGGCAAACCGGTTGAAACCTATACTCCAGCAAATCATTTCTGAAAGTCAGTCTGCTTTCCTTCCGGGCCGTCTCATCTCAGATAATATTTTGTTGGCGGCCGAGATGGGGCATTTTCTACGTAGGAAGAGGACAGGCTTGACGGGTTGGGTGGGCTTGAAGTTGGATATGGCTAAAGCTTATGATTGTATGGAGTGGCCATTTCTGCGAACTATGATGGGAAAACTTGGCTTTGATGAGGAATGGATCAACCTAGTTATGTTATGCATCTCCACCGTTCGGTACCAGGTGCTTATTAATGGTGATCTTTCAGAACCGATCCTTCCTACGAGGGGACTACGACAGGGCGACCCATTGTGCCCTTATCTTTTTATTCTTTGTGCGGAGGGCTTATCCTTAATGTTGCAGAACAAGGTCAGTGAAGGTGTGCTCCACGGGATTCGGGTTGCTAGAGGAGCTCCCTCTGTCTCGCACCTTCTTTTTGCGGATGATAGTCTTTTGTTTTTTAAGGCAACACTGGAGGAGGCTGTGGTGGTCAAGAGTTGCTTATCGGAGTATGAGAGGTTGTCCGGGCAGGTTGTTAACTATAGAAAATCCAGCATTTGTTTCAGTCGCAACACCCCCACTCCGTCAAGAGACTTTTTATCTCAATTTTTTGATGTGGAGCAAGCTTCCGATTTTGGTAAATATCTAGGTCTTCCCCCTTTCATGTGAAGAAATAAAGCTAATGTGTTCTCATATATCCATGAAAAGATTCGTGTGCGGATGAGTGGGTGGTCAAAGAAACTTCTCTCGAAGGCCGGAAAGGAAATTCTGCTGAAGACAGTTGCACAAGCTATGCCTCAGTTTGCTATGAGTGTTTTTTTGTTACCATCTCAACTTTGTCAGAGTATTGAAAAACTTATGAACTCCTTTTGGTGGGGTGGGAAAGGGCAGAATTCTAAAGGGATCCATTGGATGTCTTGGACAAGGATGGCAGTACCGAAGAATTTTGGTGGTTTGGGCTTTAAACAGGTGAGAGCTTTTAATGTGGCGATGCTGGGAAAACAGGGGTGGAGGTTTCTCACCCGACCTGAGGCACTTGTCTCTCGCGTTTTTAAAGCAAGGTACTTTCCTACGTCTTCTTTTTTGGAGGCTCATTTGGGGGCTAATCCTAGTTCTTGTTGGCGAAGTATTTTGGAGTCACAATCACTGCTTTTGGAGGGTATCCGTCGTAGGGTGGGTAATGGTCGGGACACTCTGATATGGGGTAGTCCTTGGCTTAATGATCCTCAACAACCTTGTATCCTTCCTTACAGAGAGACCACCGTTTATGCCCAATCTACCAGTGGAATTTCTGATTGAGTCTGGTTCGGGTCATTGGAAGGAGGAAGTGGTGCGGGAATGGTTCTTGCCTGTTGATGTGCAACGCATTCTTGCACTACCTTTGGGCACCATTAGTGATGATAACTGGTACTGGGAAGGGCCGTCCCGGGGAGCTTATTCGGTGAAAGAAGGTTATCGGCGTTCGGTCGGGGAGTTTACGGTCTGTCCGGGTTTTTCAAAGTGGCGTCAACTTTGGCGGGTTTCAGTGGCACCGAAGCTCAAGGTCTGTGTGTGGCGAGCTCTTCGGGACATTCTTCCGACCATCTCTTCTCTTAATTCTAAAGGTATGGCCCTGGACAACCTTTGCCCCTTGTGTGGGACTCCGGGTGAAAATATTGATCATATTTTTGTGGTTTGCCCGTTCTCGAAAATGGTTTGGAATCAGCTTGGAATTTCTTATAGCAGTCCTGTAGGGCTGTATTTCAATGCGTGGATGATGCATCTGTTTGACAGGTTTTCATTGCTTGAACTTTGTCCAGTCATCGCGGGGGTTTGGGCGATCTGGAAAGCACGCAATAAGGCGGTTTGGGAGAGGCAGGTGCCCACGCCTCAGTCCACGGTGTGTTTGATCCGGAAGCTGTGCAAGGAGTGGCATGAGCGGGCTGTGCCGGAGGCTACTGCAGGAGCAGTGGCAGGGGCTGTGCGGGCA